ATTTGAGCACTCAGACATTCACCAAGGCTACAGAAAACGTCCTTGAGATAAATGGACCTTCTGTCATGATATTTCATGTTGTGTTATGCACTTAAGAAAGCGGAGCAAAGTATAATCATATGTTCTAGGAAATGCGCTTTCGGATAGGATAACAGGATATACGCGTCTCGGAAAGAGTATTTCTACTAATCCGATCAGCGAATTTAATTACAGGGTAGACAATATTAGCGACCAAATGTTACTAAAGAACATGGGTCACCGCAGCAGATCCCACCCCAAAGCATCAATATGTAACGGCAGTTAAAGGATATGTCCACCTACTACTAAAACTACCATTTGCGCTCGACATGACCACCGATTAAAAACAATTAGGAGGAAGTTACATTTGAAGAACAGAACAAAAGGTAATTTTTCTACATTTTTGCAGATAGAGTCAAATTTGCTTTCCTTTAACCCATTCACCTTACCCCGATGTAGCCTAGTGTTCTATTTTTCCTAAATATTGTGGATCTATGAATTTATTTTTTAGTTTAGTTTCTAACAACGGCGTATAAAACCTCAGAATTTATGTTTTTCTACCCTAGTAAAAAAGGCACAATAGAAAATTAATTAAAAACCAGAAAACAACCTGACCTCTCGACTTTGACCGATTGCTAAAAATCTTTCGTATTCGTTAGTTGTTTTATTGCGCTGAAATTCAGCCGGACAGAATGAACCAGTTGATGTTTGGTATCTAAGCGTTACGATTGGTCCACCTGAGGCCGCAGTCGGGGCGATTGTGTCCAGGCGTCTTTGGGGAGCCTTTAATAAAAAATGGATGATTGTATTTACCTGGTCTCTCGGCTAAAACCAAACTTTGCTGACCTTGCATACGACATACCTCACGACAAAAATACGTCCCAGTTTGGACGTTCATTAATGAACGGTTATCTCAGGCAAATACACCCCATGCGCTTTCCAACTCGTGTAGGAGTTCGTAATCCGAGATAACAAGTGATAATCCGTAAAAAAATAACTGCCCAGACCTACAAAATGGGGTTCGGCCTTAATAGTATAGCCACGAAAATAATCGCTAACATCAGAATCAAGACAAGTCGTGAATTGATAGAAGCCTGGGCCTTACATGATAAGCCAGCCAATCACTGTATCGATCTGACACTGACTTATAGAACCCTGTGTAATCATCACAATACTAGGATGGCCGATGTCTCATTGGTTCACACTCCTTGTGTTTGTTACTTGTTCTAGTGCCGCTTTTATTTCTGATGATAGGCTCCTGTGCGAGTTCGGGAACTCAGAAAAATAAAGCCCTAGTTCCGGCAATCGAAATGCCCTCTTCCTTGCATATATATACACTTTGGACTCAAGTTATTACTCTGATTTATGAAAATCATCCTCGAATCCGCCTAGAAGAAATTTTAGATTTATCAGACTATCGATAGTCTGATCAACGCAGGTATCTGAATTTTGCGAAATAACACTACATATTTAAACAGACGGTAACGCTACGACCGATGAAATGCGTGATCAAGCGCTTTCATTCTAAAGCAGGTTTTTTTAATGTGAATATAAATGATCGGGGCCGAAACAAAGAACGTCATCCCGAACGCGAGATAAACAGTTATATCTAGTCCGGAAATCGATTTTCAATATGATTCACCAAGTAGCGTATGACTGACAATGAACGGACGCTTTTGTTACTGTTAAGCAATATTATGCGTAGCTGAATTGATCCCACTGTGGGCATCTGTAAACCGCCTGCAGTTAAAAAAAATATTAATATATTAACATTGTTGAATTATGTTGCGCGAAGAGAATACTAGCTCTAACTCCAGGGAAGTGGCAACAGTTTCGACTAAGCCTTTATTGGTCGTCGATGATGACAGTTGTATAAAACGGCAAATTGTTATGAAAACCCACTTTGAAAAAGCATAATTAGGTAGTGGCTCGTTTCCCTGCTGTTGGGTCCTCTACGTATGATACTGCTATCGCGGACGAGGAAGTGGTTCTCTATGAGGACATTGAATGTTGTTCCCTGAGTGATCGCAGCCAATGGGCCTGTACCCCTCTGTATGTTGGCGACAGTGTGTGTTGTATGCAGGTGTTTCACCCTATCGTCAATTGCTGTGTCCTTGGTTATCTGTTTGCAATAGGTAGGAGACACGCTGAATGGCACCTTCGGGGCCACCGAGTGATCGCATTCAAACCGATTGGACTAGTTTATGTGGACGTGTTCTTTTTATTGTAAGGCAACTTAACTGGCTCTGCATTTGTTGTATTTTTTATGTTACATTGTAAATCCTATTTTCCTCATTCTTTGAATAGTGTCTGCTAATCTGTGAGCCAAGCTCGTACAAACAAGGAATCTCTTCTCTGACGTGGCACAAAGTAGAGAAACCTACGGAGTAGAACAGGTCAGACTTCCTATTTTTGCAAAGGTTTTTGATGTTCCTGACTGCTTTTCCTCTTTGTACTTCATAAGAAACTTAGAATCGGCGACAAATTAACTACTTTCCTCTCGTTGTATAGACTGATTGGTAGGAATTAATGAGCATTGTAATGAAGCGAGTTTCAGAAGTTGAATCAAAAAAGAAACCGTGAGCAGTACTGTAGAAGACGAAAAGAATATTGGCAGTGGCTTAGGTGCTACAATATAAATGCAAGAGTGCATATGCGTGTGATTTTTGCCTGCCTGTTACATTATAATCGGGGATCTTAAGGTAGCCTGATATCAACGCCGGCTGTATAGCTAATATACTCAGTCTCGCATGGCGTATTCCATCTATTCAAAGAGGACCGTGAATTGAAACTTTTTTAACAACCGCAACACCATCGAATAGCCGAAACGAGGTGGATCTACTGTAGGAGGAAAGTATTAGTACATTCAAGACCTCACCTAACGTACAAATCCGGCATTCAGAATATTCCTACTTGCGGCCATTTAAAAACGACCATGAACCTGACCCATCACTTCATTTGCCGTCTTTCCTGGGGTAGAGAACTTCGTCATTCCTATGGTCTGTCTTGTTTTCCCTTTTGCAAATCCGATCCTGGCCACAAATTGTGCTATGCAATCCCGTGAAATCATAAGCACAAGCTATAATTAGCTCTCACTGGTATCACATCTACATCCAGGTTTTGGAAATTCTACTTACTTTGCCGCTGTTCGACTAATGCTCAGAGATTCAGCGATTTAAGCCAACATACTTCAGCAGCGCCAACAGGTATTACCTGCGTATTGCCTTGTGACGCGGATTCCATCTGAATTGAGATATTTTTCCATGGCATATTTCGTGATTCGTGACGCACTTCGTTCCACTCTCTACCATTCCCTGTCTATTAAGCCAAACCTGAGTTTTGCGATGAAAATCTTTCTGAATATATCTCCAATATTCTCTCTAGATCATGTGCTGCATTAGCAATTAGAACGCTCCCTTATTCGCTTATGCGTTCTACTTTCTTGACTATAACGGATCCTGTTCGTAGCAGCAAGCAGTATAGGCAGATATTATTGCCGGCAAAGACAGAGGACACTGAAATAGCCAGTTCTGGCTTATTATGGCGGTCGGTTAACTTTCATCAACGAGCGTCAATATCTCCTGAGCTAGACCGGCAAGATAAAGAGCTCGCGGCTCACTGGCTAGTACGATAGACTCTGATCAAAAAAGCCGCGAGTTCGAGCCTTCACTGGTGCCCTACTTGGGGCTAGCTATAACTGGCTGACGACGGCTAATAAGCCAAAAATGGCCATTCCGGTCTCCCTTGTCTTTGTTGGCAATAGAATTCTGTTCGGTTTGATGAAATAATTCAAATCTCCTGTCCAAGGGCAAAGAAGAAATTCAGATCGATACAGTGACATCTCCAGCAAATTCAAACAAATGGTACTTTAGTGGTAGATCATACGCGTAACGGTCGTATTCACTACAATAAATGAGTTCACATCCAAAGGCTGCTCGTCATCTGCTGACTTCAGGTTTTGGCGTTGTCAGCATTCGAGGTTTCTTTTATTTGAAAGAGCAATATCACGTCCTGGGTGCAACCGATATTTTTTATTTCCTCTCGTCTGCAGACTGGAAGCACGTGGACAAAGCGTGCAGAAGGATTACGATCCAGTTTGTTTTTCTCTATGGGTCCATGGTATCCTGACAATCATAATATTTAACTCGTGTTAACGTGTTTCTACTGTGTACAAATCCGGTCTGTGTGCTTTTATAGCTAAGCACGCAGCAGATCGTTTCCTCTGATATATCCCTGGTTATATTCTGTTTCAAAAAGTTATGCCATCCTCAAGTGCTGATTTGCTGCTTATCTTCGTTCTTGTCTGCCCTTACGGGTTTGTGTGTTTTATTCTAGCTTCCGGTACAATGTCAATAGTGTCTCTGCAGATTGGCCAATGTGGAAATCAGGTTGGCGGTGAATTTTTTAGAACAGTCATGAGTGATATCCGAAGTGTTCCTTACTCAAAATCTCGTCTGGAGACAGAGTATTCGGAAACCTCATCAGAGACCTTCTTTAACAGACGCGACAAAGGTAAGACGCTTTCGGGAAAACGGACTTGATTGCCCACGAACAGGTAGAACACTCGAGGCCAGATGTGTCCAGGTAGATATGGAAGAAAAGGTGATTCAGCAGATGCGAACAGACGCCTCTCGTGAGGGTATTTGGCGCTACCCAAAGAATTATTATTCAGCAAAACAGGGATCAGGTGGGCTTTTATTTTAATGTTAGGCATTATCCTCTTGTCTTTTCTTGAAGCCATTTCAATTAAACTCTATTTTCGGTTTGGAATACTCATCCTCTTGAAGATACTTATGTGTTTTAGTCCTTGTAGAACTTCTGATAAATCTATTCTGTTCCCCCTTTTAATTTGTAAACGGAGCCGAAGTCGTTTTCTGCTTCAGAATTGCTAATGTTTAGGTGTTGACGCGCTTTGCAGTTCTTAATCTGTTTCTCTCGCTTGAGTCCACTTTCATTTTCTTAGACATTAATGTAGTTAAGGAATGCATTATCTTATGTTCCAATATATTGGGTGTGGGTGTATGTATGCTATTCATTTTTCAATTTTCCTTCTAAGTCCACTCTGTCCTTTTTTATGGTCAAGATATTATTCCACTGCGCTTTAGTCCCTAAGTGCCTATAGTAATGAAAGGTTGACTTTCCACCATAAATCGGTAATTCAGCTGATGCAGGGCGTTGACTCTGATGTCGTTAAATTTCCATAATCTTGATTACAGTTGTGAAAATTCTCATTAGAGAATTCAGATGGCTAGTTTGGCGAGCGTACGTATACTTTCAATAAATTCTCTTCAGGCCAATACATTTATATGGGAGGAAGTACAAGTTACATAAGCAATCTTGCAAGCGAGTCGTGGGAATCGGGGGAAGGGGTCGATAAGAGAAGGATGGTTACGCAGGGAGGGCTTGGTGGAGCCAGTTTAGGGGAGGGGGAGGGCGGGAGATAGCCAGAGTACGGATGAGTGCATGCCGCTAAGTGACTGCGGGCCACGCCAGATGCGGAGCGAAAGTATACGTAAGCTCGCCAAACTAGTCTTCTAATCTTGATTAGGTCACTTACTAGCGTATTTTTCCGCATATTTATTTTGAGTTACTACTGTAACTACTACTTATCTGCGCATGACTCAGGCT